GGCCTCCGTATTTGGTATTTGTGGCAGGTATATATCGCCCGAGCGGTAGTTGATTAACAATTTGCGCTTGTCTTCATCATTCTTTACCTCAAAGCCTTTCTCATACACTTTCACTTTTTCAGCAGCTTCGATATCATCAAACAACACCATCTTTTTATCACCACCGATCAGGATATTACGCAGCTTCACCGGTGAAGACCAGGAACAATTAAAGTGGGCGATAAAATCTTCCTGGTAATTAACGGTCATGTACGCGATGTTCTCAATGCCATTACCGGTATGAGATACGCCGGTTGCCTGTACACTATAAGGCGAACCGGGATAGAGGTAAAACAGGATAGACAGGTCATGCGGCGCCAGGTCCCAGAGCACATTCACATCGGGCTGTATCAGGCCAAGGTTGATGCGTGTGGAATCAAAGTATTGAAGCGCCCCAAGCTGTTCTTCTGCGATCAGCGATTTAATTTTTTGTACCGAGCCGGTATACAGGAAGGTATGATCAACCATAACCACCTTATTGTTACGCGCAGCGATGTCAATCAGCTCCTGGGCTTCCGCGGCATTGGCGGTCATGGGCTTTTCGATGAGCACATGCTTCCCCGCTTCCAGTGCACGTTTCGCCAGGTTATAATGTGTAAAAACAGGAGTTGCAATCACAATCGCATCAATACTGGTATCGGCGATCACATCGGCAGCATTGGTTGTTGTATTTATGGAAGGATAGGTTCTTTTTAAAACATCAAGCCTTTCGATCCGCTCATCGGCAACCGTATGTACTGTACAGTTGGATTGGGCAGAAAAGTTACGAACAAGGTTAGGACCCCAATATCCATAACCTATAATGGCAATATTTATCATAGAAAAATAAGACGCTGGTCTTAGCCGGTAAAATTTAAAGTGCCCAAAGATAGTAAACTAAAAAAATTGCCAATACAATCTTTTTAAAGAAACGCATTCAATTAAAAGCAGTTCATTATTATTTATTTTTCAATGACAGGATATGTTTTACCCGTGCTAAAATGGCGTCATCAACATCCCCCGTACGTATGGCTCGATCGATGGATAACCTGGCTCCAGGCAAGTCGCCGGTCAATGCCTGTGCCTCGGCCAGCCTTAACCAGGGAGCGTCGGTACCTTTATAATAATTAGTGGCAAAAGTGAGTATTTGCAGGGCTTTCGGCAGATCCTGCTTCCGGAATGCTATCTCCCAGGAAAGGTGCACGGAGTTATGATTGACGGAAGATATTTTCAGCGCATTATTGATGGCATACTCCGCTTTGTCCAGCTCATTGGTTTCCATATACAGCAAGGTCAGGTCCGTCCAGAGTTCCACATCTCCGGGGTATTGGGCAACGGCTTTTCCGAGGTAAAAGGCAGCTTCATTCAATCGCCCGGCCTGTTTTGCCAGATGTGCTTTATAGCCATAACGTGCTGTATCATTTTTCAATACCATACAAATCGGCACTCCATCGGCGGTTATGGTATGAATAGCTTTGGGGGAGTTAAAATATCCGTTTTTCAGCGCATCGTGATCCAGATACCTCGTAATAAAAATGGCATAGTCCCAATCGGTTTTATGCTGGGAAAACAGGTTTACTTCCGCCACTTTCACAGGAAGCTTGCCCACGCGGTTATAGTGGTAGTAGATATGCCCGGCACAATCCGAACCGAGCGTAAGGCTATCCTTTGCAGCCCGGATGGCTGGTCCTTCGTGCTGGTATAACCAATTATACGCCTGGCGCACACTGTTGTAATAATAATCCAGCTCGTAATTACTGAAGGCACCCTTTACGCCCCCCACCAGTTCATTATAATAAATG